ATTTGCAAAAGGCAACATGCTTTTATTGAAAAATACTTCAATTCAGGCCCTTCTTTAATGTGATGTTTTAACTTCTCTTTTATAACAGAAACTGTGAGCTTTCATTGTCGGGCATTTTGGTCGATGTATCCCGGTGTATCCACGGACACGTTAAACCAGACTTTTCTGAGCTTCGTGGATTTTACGCTGGTTTGTCTAATTTTACGTACCTTAGTCTCAACAAACTCGGGAGATAAAATGTCAAGGAAAGCTACATCCGCCCCTCCCCCACCCCCGAGAAGGAGAAGAGGGGTTGAGACCGTTGGGTGTGATGGGACAATGTATCACTACGAGGACTAGGTATTTATATTTTTCCGGAGTGGTGTGTTTGGGAATTTGTTTCAGGGGCTCCCGGGGTTTGGAAGCGGCCTCGTCAAATCAGACCACGCTGACCAAGGTCTTTGTGGAGTTTGTGCTGATGTGTCAAAGTTTACGGACCTTAGTTTTAGCATGTCAGAGTGGTTGTGTCGACCGAAGGAAGGTTTCCCAAATCAGAAGTCAGGGTGGACCAACTGTTTACTACGAGAAAGATGCTTTACCGAGGACTCTGTCTAGATGCCAGAGATTAACCAAGAGCGTGTGGGGTAGGTTATCTAGGTCAAATACAGGGTTCCGATCAGGGTATGGACGACTTGTTACGGTAGACGATTAACTCCCCCCCCCAACCCCAGCCCGCTCGGCCTTCCGTCAAGTTGCATCAAGAGTAAATATTATTTCGCCATCAGGCTTAAGCAACCCTCGCATTAACCCTGACCCAAACCTTGGCCGCACGCTAATGCTAAACTTAGTACTACAACTCAATACTTAATACTAAACACTAACACTAAACTTAATAGTAAACTTAACACTAACATAAATCTTGACACAAATGCAAGGCCCTCGGAATAGAGTGCTTCCTATTTCCATGCCTCACCTTCTACTAAATATCGCGCTCCAATTAAATTCTCTGACCAGACCACACAGAACCTTAGGGTGCGGTCCTTAATCTTAGCTTTCATCATGCTAGTGCCCACAGAAGTCCTCCTGTCTGGTTCACGTTTTAGCCTGAAGCGTCCTG